AACAGCTTCATTTTGAAACAGCTTCTGCCTGAGGTATGGTAATATTTATATATCTGCACAGGTTTGTGTAAATTTTGACCTAGAAATGAAAACACATGCCACATTTCCTTTCTGAATATTACTGAGACTGTTCCAGTAGAGATAGGGTGATCCCTGCATACGCTTTTTCTTATGAATTCTGATTTTTGTGTCTCTGAATTTATGGTCCTGCTTTCACACCAAGTTCTTTTTTTTTTTTTTTTTAAAGATTTGTTTATTTATTTATACAAGAACCCTGGTACAGGCCAGATGTGCAGGAGGGTGAGAGGATTCACCAGAGACAGAGCAAGGAACAGAACAGGCAGACTGATGAAATACACTGCTGAGGGGAGCAGCGGGGGCCACAGGAGAGGTCTGCCAGGCCATGTGGGACCCTCGCTGTTCGGCCAGGATGGATCCGGCTCTGCGGAGGCTGCGACAGCTTCACAGCCTGGCTCTCAACTGCCTGCACTACCAGGGGAGGCCCTCACACCAAGTTCTTATAGTCCAGAGATAGCCTAGTAGGAAGGGAACCAAAATTATACAAGGCTGGTTCTGAGATTCTAGTGCTGTAACTCTTGATAAAACATCTAGTTCTTCATTGCGCCAATAGTATTGCTGGCTTTCTAAGTTTTGAGAAACATCAGGACTATTTTCTCAGTTATGCATATTAGAATTGATAGTGTAGTCATTAAAGATGGTTGTCTTATATAGTTCAAAATGTTGGTCATCATAGTAAAGGTAATAGTAATAATTCAAATTCACATTCAAGAAATCTTCCTGTTTTATATGTTTATTCCCCTTTCAGTTTTCCTTTTGAATGAAAAAAGACATGTTTATACTCTTCTGCAGTGAGAGAGTCTTCAATTATGAAAACCCAAATCATAGTATTTTTCACACTGAGACTGAATATCACCTGGAAACCCGAGAATGGTGCGAGTTTCGTAGCCCACACAAAATTTCTTTCTCCTCTTCCAAGTATTTCAAACATAGCATCTCAATTTTTCAAACTTTGTTATTTTTGTTATTCACAATCATGCTACCTTATCTTACATGAACTTATTACCTTATGATCACTCAATAATTTTATTTTGTCTTTATTTCTGATGTCTCGCAGTTATTACAGGCATTCAAATTATAGCAATTTGATTGAATTTTCTTTTTACATGAACATTTTGTATTAATTTTAGAAGAAAATCTTACCGGTATTGTCCTGGGCTTGAGTTTTGCTTTATTTTTCTATCTCTCCTGTAATAATTTTGGTGGAGCTGTCCAAAATTAAGTGTAAGTGTTCCTTAGGAATTGCTTTGTGAAAAAATGAATACCAAAGAATCCTTGACTCAAAAATTCACAGGTTGGAGGGTATTAAGTCTTTGAGTCCTTGTTGATCTTGTTCTGCCTCTCACCTAAAGAAAATTTCCATTTCACGGTATCTCTGGCAACCAATGGTGTTTTCTCTGTTTATTATATGGTCTATTTAAAGGGAATAAGGCAAAATATTAATGACCTTGGGGAAAGTCTTTCCCCCAAAGTCTGCCCCTATAATCTCACCACGTCAGAGAAAAAGTAATGACTTTAATTTCCAGACGTGTTTTCAATTTGTTAAAAGTTTATTTCATTCACTTTCTATTACTTTAGTTTATGACACTTTCTACATAGGAAGTATAGCAGTTTGCTCTCTGCATCTCTCCCAGCTCTGACATGTAGAATTCATGTCTGTCATTCTGGGACTTGCTGTTCCTCGTGATCCCAGATATATGGGCATGACAGCACTTTATTCAGGGAAACTTGTGAAGACTGCATAGTTTGGCATTTGTATGCTACTCTAGGAAATGTATCTTCTCTGAGACGCCTGTCACAGGTTGAGAGGACCAAGAATTTCCATGATTTTCTGGTTTTCTTTGCAATAAAATATATATAGCATCCTAATAATTTACAAGTGTTGTTATATATTTAATTTTTACCTTAAGAAATCCTGTTATTAAAGTAATGCAATGGAATGTGATTTTACAATTCATTCCACACGTGGAGTGAAAGTGGTGATGGTTCACCGGTGAAGGTGGTGGGAATTGTGCAGGGAATATGCAATGATGTAAAATACATACATAAACAAATTATAAAAAAAGAAACTAAGTAAAAAAAAAATCCCAATTTTTGTATGTTGATTTTGTAACCTGCACCTCTACTGTATTAATTTATTAATTTTAGTATGTTTTTTGAGATTTTCTGCATAAAGTGACACCACCTGCAAACAGATAATTCGACTTCTTTTTGTGTAGCATAGATGCCTTTTATTTCTTTTGGCATCCATTTCTCAAGTTAGGACTTGTAGTATGAGATTAAGCAGATGTTGAACTGGACATCCTTACCTTGTTCCTTATGTTAGAAGAAAACTATTAGTTTTCAACCATTTGTATGATGCTAGCTGTGAACTTTTTATATATGGATTTTACTGTGAGATAATTTCTTTTCTATCCCTAATTTGTTGACAGTTTTTATCTTGAAAGCATGCTGAATATTGTCAAAAGAGTTTTTCTGTATCTGTTGAGATGATAACATTTTGCTAATATGACATTCACATTAATTAATTTGACTGTGATGAAGCAATAGCAATACCTGTTTTCTTAACAATAATGTTTTCAACAAAACTAAGCAAAGAGAGTGGCAGAATATTATGTTTTATCTTTGTTATGCATAATTTTTTCTATTACATATAAATTTAAATTTTAAATATTAAACTTTTGCAATCATTTTTAGCACCTAAAATTCTGCCTAAAATCTTAAAATTGTAGGTTTTCCATGTACTTTCTTTTTTGTAATCTAAGATAAAGCTTAGATTCTAAAAGATAAAATAGACACTGATTATAAACCCAAATTCCTTTTGCTTCCATTGGAGACTTAAACTACTTACAAAAGTTATGCTCTCTTTTGTGTTTATTAATATTAAAATAATCACAAAAGTAGTATGCTTAGAGAGTAAATAAAATAAAGAATTAGAGAAAAAATACTTTTCATATATAAAGTATGAAGGACTACCTCTGGAATAAAACAAAAGCATTTTAATGTAAATTATTCATAACTTGCAACAATGTTCGAGTAAATGCTTGCAAATTTATAATAATACTTCTCAATTAGAAAATCTTCAAACAGGGGCTATAATACTGTATATTCATTAATGATATAAGTGTAGCATACTAAGTTGTAGAATAGTTGAGGATTTCAATACTTAATCATAAAACATGAACTTAAGTAATAAATTTCTATAAAAATTAAACTAAATATTTAAACTTGGTAATGAGAAGTTGAGTTTTCTCTTGTGAATATAATTTTTTAATAGATTATTTTTACAATAGTTTTATTTTTACAGAAAAATTACAGAAAAAGCACAGGGAGTTCCCATATACACTTTATGTTCCCTTCACAATCTTTCTATTTACTGACATCTTACATTAGTGTGGTACATTTATTACAATGGATGAACAAACATGGATCCACATTTACTAAAGTTCATAGTTTACATTAGAGTTTCACTTTCATTTTGTAGAATTTTGCAGGTTTTCACATGTGCATTCTGTCACATATAAGCCACTAGAGTATTAACAGAATGGATTCCCTTCCCTAAACATACCCTGTGTTCCACCGATTCACCCCTTTACTTTTTGTTAATCCTGGCAAATACTACCATTGTTTCCACAGTTTTCCAGAAAGGAAATTCATAATTCATGTTTGTCAAGTAAACATTGATGTTTTTAAAAAATCTAGAAGCTGTCCTTTCACATCTCACATTGATCATTTTATCCTATTTATATTTTAAAATTCAGTAACATCAGTTGTTTGCTCTCTTTACTTGTAGTCACATAAATATTTCACCATTTATTTAGACTATGTTACAGTCATCATAACCCAACATAATAGACATATTATTATAATTGGTATAATGAAAGAAATCTTAATATCACCCCCCCTCCAAATTAAGAGGAATTAATTTTGGAGCAGAAAAGCAGATTTTTACAAAAAGAATACTAATATGAACAAACCTGACAGTCAAGCCCTTCTTAAGACAAAGAGCTGCCAAGAAGGATAAATTTTCTCTCCATAGTCTGACACTATTCTGAATGAACCTAGTAAGAATTTAGTGTAAACATTTAAAATATATGCAGGGGATTACATAGATTATATACTGCAACTTACAGCTTGAAGCTCCTATAATCATTTGAATCTGAGTCTTTCTCCTGATCATGAAGAACTACTAAATTAAAGGTTTCTGATCAGAGACAGACTCAAATGTCTAATAAAGAAGCAGCTTGGGGGCCTCCCCGGTGGTGCAGCGGTTGAGCGCTGGGTTGCGAAGCTGCCCGTGGCCTCTGCAGCACTGGTTCGATCCCTGGCTGCTCCCAGGCCACTGGAGGAGGGTCCCGCATGGCACGCAGACCTCTCCTGCCTCCTGCTGCTCTCCTCAGCAGTGTATTTCTGACCTTCTTCCTGCTCTGCTCCCCGCTCTGGCTCTGGTGAATTCTCTCACCCTTCCGCGCTTCTGACTGTACCCACTGCTTGTATAAATAAATAAATAAATCTTAAAAAAAAAAAAGGAAGCAGTTTGGAAAGGTGGTGTTGACTAGCCTGTACATGTAAGTTTATGGATGGGTATGTAGACACTGGAAGTCACAAAACAAGGGGCAGGGAAAACACTAGATCAAAGTCTTAGTGTCAATAGGTAGGGAAGGCAGAGACAAAGAAATAAATGAACACTTAAAGCAACAGATCTTCTGTGACTGTTTGTATCTGATGCTGCTTCTTCCTCTATATAAAACTGACTGAACACTAACCAGAGTTTGAGCTCACATTATCTATTTTCCTGAAAAAGTATCCTGATGCCTTATAATAGCATTATATTTACTACACAAAATGAAGTTAATCTTTTCTAGGAACTTGGGCTAGGTCAATTCACACTACTAGCAAAAATGTGTAACTTCCATTCACTTTTAGTCATTTGAGATCAACTTTTTGCTCCATAACTTCCTCATGGCATTTTTCACTTCTGCATTCCTGAGAGTGTAAATCAGAGGATTGAGCAAGGGTGTTCCGATTGTATAAAACACAGCTATCATTTTATCCATGGGGAATGTGGTGGCAGGTCGTGTGTATATAAATATGCATGGAACAAAGAACAAGACGACCACCATGATGTGAGAGATGCAGGTGGACAGGGCTTTTCTCCTCCCTTCAGCACTGTGGTTTCTCAGAGAATGCAAGATGATGACGTAGGAGAACATTAGTATGACAAAACTCACTGTACAGATGGCTCCACTGTTGGACACCAAGAGTAAGTTGATGACATAGGTGTCTGTACATGCAAGTTTAAACAAAGGCTGCAAGTCACAGAAATAGTGATCAATCACACTGGGGCCACAGAAAGGTAAACTCAAGGCTAGAAAAAGCTGAGCTGAAGAATGCATACAGGACCCCACCCAGGCCACAGCCACCAATGCTCCACAAACCTTACGGCTCATGATGGTAGTATAGCGCAAGGGCTTACAGATGGCCACATAGCGGTCCACTGCCATGATGATTAGAATGAAGATCTCCATGCAGCCAAAGAAGTGGGATGCAAAGACTTGGATCATGCAATCACTGAATGAGATAGTAGCCTTCTTCATAAGGGAATCCACAATCATTCTAGGAGCTACGGAAGTAGAGAAGCCACTATCAGATAAAGATAAGTAGAAAAGGAAGTAGTACATGGGGCTCACAAGTACCCGACTGGTCTTGATGGTCGTGATAATCAGCAAGTTACCCATTAAGGTTGCCAAATAGAAAAGCAAGAAAGTGACAAACACTATTTTCTTCCTTACAGGATCTTGAGTCAACCCAAGAAGAATGAACTCAGTCACATTATTGTCCAGATGCATGGTTTCATGAAAGAGGTGAAGGAGTAAGTGAGAAATGAATTTTCTGCAAAAAAATAAAAGAATGAATATATAGTGTTATATGTAATGTTATGAAATACTTTAGGAAAAATAGCTATTCCTCATCAAGATGTTCTAACTGTGGCTTCTTAATAATTTTCTTGTACCTATTACCCTTAATTTCCACAACCTGTTCATTGGGTAATGTTAGCTTACAATGTGATACTTTTTAACAGCCTTTTGTTAATTTGGATGTCATTTGATAAATTTCACCAATTTTAGTGTATGCTTAAGAGGTATAGCTCTGTTTTATGTTTTCTTTTTTTTCATATTCAGTCAAACTTGTGGCCTCTATCTGCATGGAGTATCACTGCATTTAGGGTACTTTTGACTGTATTTGGAGGTTCGTTATATAAAGTCACACAAAACCTTAATCTTAATGTCCCAATTATATATACATATGTATCACATTTATAATTATTTATAGAATATATATTATTTATAAACACATAATAAGCTCTACCTCCTCACTGCATACTTGCTCCGATATTAAACTTTGAGAAAAAAAGAATAGGAAATATTTATAGAATTTATATTATCTGCTATAAATTTTATGCATTTAATTGTAATTAGTAGTTGACAAGTATCTAATGAAGTTGTTAGAACTGAATATATTTTTCATATTTGTTAATATATCAAATATGCCCATGTCTATTTTTTCCAACTTTTGAAATTTTTGAAAAATACCCCTGAGAGCACTCAGTGTTCTTGAATTTACATTTATAAATGAACAACAGTGGCTTAACACTCAATAATTCTTGTTTTCACAATTCAAATTTTTAGCTTCAGTAGTTTAGACCTGAGAGATTATTTTCAGGGGTGTATGTCACAAGGTTCATGACATAGGACCCACTCATGGTTTCAATCCCAGTAGAGTTTATATTATTTAGGTGTCTGAAAACCCCAATATTTCAGAAGTGAGCAAATAGAGAGGGAGATGAGGGCTTAAAAAAAGAAGTTAGGAGAAAGTAACTGATTTTACTCATTTTTTTTTTATTATGGCAAAATCAATTCTTATTCAACTTTGAAATGTCACTTTTTTGATATTTTTTCAAATGTGGAAAGAAATATTATCATAGTATTGAAGCATTTTATCTTTATCTTTCTTATGAAAATGATGCCAGAAAGTACACTAGATGCAAATAAAAATTAAAACTGAAATGTGACATATTTAAATGTAATCTGGAAGACTTACTTGCCCCACTGTATTCTTCTGAATCCTACCCAAACTCATGTAATACATTTTTCTTAAAAGTATATGCTAGCCAAACATAGACAATTATAGATTAAGTAGATATCAAATTTTTCTTATATTTTCCTGTCCCTTGACAAACATGCATCTCTTAACAAACTTGAAATACAGTTTATGTTTGTTAATATTAAGAGAAATTCTTTGGAAAATGAATTATTTGTTTTGGGATGGCTTAATGCAAAATCTCTGGAAATGTGTCATCTTGGACTAGCATCTTAAAAAAAAAAGCAACCTAGCTTTGCTACATTAATCAATACTAAAAGCTCATTCTTTTATTAATTTAAAAGAGTGATGTATGAAAAGATGCTGACACTTTAGAACATGGTAGACTGTTGAGGGAAGTAGTGAAAATCTACATTACTCTAATAGTTCAAGATTTTCACCATTCCATTGAGTGCATAGAATTTTTCGTTTATATGTTATAAATTCCATTCATTCATTCATGTCTAGGAATAGCCTATTTCCTTTTTTTTTTTTGCATTTGACTTATGTATTTAACAAATTAAGACTCATGAACATACATGATTTGAATAACTTATTGCTAAATGTCAGTCCTCCATCAACTATTTACTCAATTATCTCAGGATGACATTAAAGGTCTCCATCCTGTCTGCTATCCATACATATTTCAAACATGACTCTTCAAGTCATATATTTATTAGTATTTTTGAAAAAACTTTTTCTGTGCTCTCAAAACATATTTCAGGAATTTTTTTATTCCTGAAAAAAAGAACTTTAAATCCATTTTGTAAGCTATAATAGCCCACATTCTACACAAGGGAAAATAAATTTCTTAGTCAACAAATACTTATTGAAGTTGATATAACACATAATGAGAGTCAAGTGCAAAGAGAGCACATCAAGATTAATGACTGTAAGAGGCAGGATCTCCAGCATGTAATATAGAAACTAAGGATTAAAAATAGAGGTAGAGTGTCCAAACTCATCTTACTCACTTCTGCTCTGGGATGCCTGCTTCAATCTTCCATGAATCTTAGGACCAAACCTCCAAGAAACATCTTGTAGATGGTCATGAGTCATTAACCTGTGAGAAGAGAAATTCATTCTTCTGCTCTTGAAATATTTTCTTTGCAGATTTTTCTATAAAATGACACATCAGTCCTTCCTGGTGGTGCAAGGGGTTAAGCACTGCACTATGAAGTAATCCACAGCCTCTGCAGCATAAGTTTGATCCCTGGCCAGCCAGGGAGCAACCCACATGGCAAAGCAGACCTCTCCTGCTTCGCCTGCTGCTCCCTTCAGCAGTGTGTTTCAGTCAGTCTGCCTGTTCTGTTCCCCACTCTGTCTCTGGTGAGTCCTCTCCACTCCGGCATCTCTGGTCTGTACCCCAGCTCTTGTATGCATAAATAAATAAATCTTTAAAAAAAATGGTTCATCACTGTTCACGATATAAGAACATACGCGTTTATTTTAGTTTTCATCTTGAATAAAGAACACTGGAAGACAGTGTCTTCTTAAGATATTATTCTCACAGTGCCAGCACAATACCTGGTACAATGTAGGTGCTCAGCCAGTGCCTTTAAGTTGAGTCTTGCTTCTTACTCCTTAAACTAGGATATTTATGTCATTGTTGTAGTACTATTCAAATGAGAAACACATTAGCATCAAATCGAAAGGTCTCATCTATCTCTCATGGGTGCCAGACATACACATATGTTGCAGAATTATTAAGTCAGAAAACATCAATGACAAATTTGAGCTTGGTTATAAACAACTTATTAATTGGTTTTATTTTATCAGATGATTTGTTAGGCTACCACATGGGAGGGGAATAGGGGAGAGTAAAGTGTGGAGGGGGTACAATGGGCAATGGTGGAAGACTAGGGGTGTGGTGTGGTAACATGCACTGAAGGGTGTGAGCCTTATCTCTAAATCATATACAGTGTTACAAACCAATGTTACCGCAATTAAAATAAACTAAAAATTAACACAAGCTTCTTAGTGAATCAGCTATAAATCCTAGAGTAAATGGTATAGTACCTGCAATGTACTACAAGGTTATGCAAGACAGTGGGGACCCTAGTACCATAAAAATGAGCACTTGGATTTTTTGTTAATATGAATCATTGGCAGTAGGCATATGATAGAAGCTTCTATTTTTCATATTTTCTGATAATGATTAGCATTTTATACATAATATGTATATGGCCACATGTTTAATATTTTTTACAGAGGAGGGTTAACACTTTCCCTCTGATTCTCAAAGCAAGGACACAAACATGGTTGTAACACTTTGGAGACAAAACAGCATCACTAATATAACACATTTTCTAGTAACTATAATCTTACCCTCTTACTCTTCAAACAAAGTTAGCCAATTTTTAGAAAGATTTAATTTGTCAAAACTAGTAAAACAATTCTCCTTTGGTGTGGGAAAACAGAAGAGTTGAGAGGATAGCAGACAGAGAGATGGAGAATAGGTGAGGGTAAAATATAGTCTGTTAGGTGGATTCTACTCTGCTTAAAACTCTATTTTATTGAAGCCACAGTGGGAAGCATTACTTTATTCAAGGATTCCCTCTGTAAACTATCTACCCCTCATTAATTTAGTGACATCGATCTCTGTCTTTAAAATGAACTCTTCATTTACTTAATTTCTGCACAGAATATGTAATTGGCCTTCCTTGAACTTCTCACTCTGGACTCCCTGCTTATCTGATCCAGAGATACCCTATGAAAAGCTTGATCTGAGAATCAAAAGGTCACCATAAAAGTCAACAGCTACTACTATCCTTTTTGTGTCTTCTAGAATCTATAGTAAACCTTCACTGAGGACAGCTTCCTTCTCTTACCACACAATAACAATGACATTTCACACACCTGGACTCATCAAACATGTGGAATCCAAAAGATCATTTTCATGCTTATGTTTCATTCTGCTAATTTCCTATGAGTTGTAAATCTTGAAAAAGTTGAACTGTTCATTTTTTTCCCCTCTGTTCCTTTCTCAGACTTTGTGGGAACACTGTAGTCACAAGATACATGGACCTATGTTAGAAAGCGAGGTAGATTATTTTATAATGATATCTCTTTGTAAAATGATGGAAATAAGATGTTACTTACATGTTAGAAGACTCTGACTTAGGATCAAATCTGCCCATTGACTTTTGATAGCAGCCCTCTCACAGAACACTGAAAAAAAATGTTTCTCTCTGCATTCCAGGGGGAATATTTTAAAACCTGATGACATAGATATGAACATCCAGAGAATATTATTCCCTAATGTTAAATTTCCTTTGCTAGTCAGAATTATCCAGATGTATAAACTCCACTTATGATTTGTCTATTTAACTTAAAAAATAACAAGTTATCATTATTCAGACTCAGCAACGAGATGCAAAAAAGTATCTGGAATGTTTATAAATAACTCATCAAAGGTACCAGTGGGATAAAGGGCAAAATGTAAATAGATGGTGGCACACACAAGGAGGGAAACTTTATACTTTTAGCAATGTTATTTCTAAAAGAAGAAGTCCCTCACAGAGGAAAAAAAAAATTCACTCCTACTCAGTGCCCTAAAGATGATCAGCATCATTAGTCATTAAGTAGATGCAAATTAAAACCACAATGCAGTACCACCTCATATTGTTAAAATGATAATCATCAAAAAGACAAGAAATAGCAGACACTGGTGAGGCTAGGGCTAAAATAGAAAACCTGTGTTCTTGTCATGGGAATGTACATTAGTACAGCCATTATGGAAAAAAATATGTGGGGGTCTTCAAAAGATGAAAAATACAACTATCATGTCATCTCAGATTATAGTCAAAAGAAATAAAAACTCTGACTTCAAAAGATATGTGCATCCCCACATTCATAACAGCACTATTTGTAGCATCCAAATCATGGAAACAACTGAGGTGTTCATCAAAGTATGAATGGATAAGGAAATTTACAGTGGAATATTACTCAACCATGAAAAATGATGAAATCTTATTTGTGACATCATGGATGGACCCTGAAAGTATTATGTTAAGTAAATAAGTCATGGAATTAAAAAAAACACAAAATATAAAAAAGATCAGAAATGTAGTTACCAGAAGCAGAGGTTAGGGGAGCTGGAACTAGAGAAAGGTACAAATGTCTAGATAAATACAAAGAAATGTAATGCACAGCATGACTCCTATAGTTACTACTGATTTATGGTTATAGGAGAACTGTTAAGATTATAAATCCTAGGAATCCTCATTGCAAATAAATATCTTTTCCTTCCTTTACATTTTATCTGAAGTGAGAAGATGAATGTTAGCTGAATATTTTGTGGCAATCTTTTCACATTAGATGCTAACCAAAATGTCTATGCTTTATGTTTTAATCTTATAAAGTGATGTATATCCATTGTTTCTAAATAAAACTGGAAAAAATTGGTAGAAATTTACATCAGAACTGTAGATTGAGCAATGTAGATGGTAGTTTAAAGACTGGGGGAACTCACCCAAGAAAACTGAGAGAATAGAATAGGTTTTTGCCAACATTTAAAAGAATCCCAAAAAAATGGTCCCAGTAAACAAGTACAACCTTGTGACATACATTTTTAAGCACACAAAATGCACAATAGGTACTGATATCTATTGGCATGAAACCTAACAGCATCTTCTAGAACTTGTTCAGCTTGCACACTTGAAACTTTACACCAGTGGAAAAGCAACACTTTCCAGTGTTCTCTCCAGTGCCTGAAAAACACCATTCTACTCTGTGTCTCTGGGTGTGTTATCATTTACCTCATGTAGTATTTGTGTCTGGGTTATTTCACTTAGTTTAATGTCATTATACTAGTTCGCAATTTGTGACCAATGAACATATGTCACATTTGCTTTATCCTTCTGGTTATTGCAAAAATGCTTTAATGAACTTAACAGTGTAAATATCTCTTTGGATTCCTGCTTTCAATTATTCCATAAAGATTGGGTAAGTTGGATGGTTGGATCATAGATCTATTATAAAGCACTTTTCATTATCAGAGAAAAAACAAGGCAAAACAGAGTAAAGCAAAATGGCTGAAACATTAGATACTCAAGAAATTTATTTATTCATAATATTTTATTATTAAAAAGATACAGTGTTTACAAATAAATATACCAACATAACTTCAATACATATTACAGTATAGAAATTTCCATTAGTCCAGAAATTTACTTCATTCTACTCACCAGATTATTCCCATTCCCTAACTTCCTTGCCTCATATGGATAACTATATCTTATTTGTCGTATTTTCCAACACAGTTTAATATTGCCTGCTGAAGATCTTCTGTTAATTAAATCATAAAATGTATACTGTTTTTTGTAAGGCTCCTTTTACTCAAAATATTTTGCTATGTGTTTCAGTAGTATATTTCTTTTTTATTTGTTAGGGAAGAATTCATTGTATGTGTACCATATGTTATATTTTTTAAAAATTTATGCACATTTGTATTGTTTCATGTTCTTGGCTGTGTGAACAAATTTTCTGTAAATATTATATGTGCATCATGAATACATTTCTTTTTGATAAAGTACTAAGAATGGAATTGTTGGGATTTATGTTAAGCATAGGTACAATTTTATGTTAAATAGCTAGAACTTTGTCAAAAGTGGATGCAACAGGGCCTCCCTGGTGGCGCAAGGGATTAAGCACTGCACTATGAAGCACTCCGCAGCCTCTGCAGCACAAGTTTGGTCCCCGACTGGCTGGGGAGCAACACACATGGTGTGGCAGACCTCTCCTGTCTCGCGTGCTGCTCCCCTCAGCAGTGTATTTCAGTCAGTCTGCCTGGGTTCTCCACACTGTCTCTGATGAATCCCCTCACCCCACACATCTCTGACCTGTACCCCGGCTCTTGTATGCATAAATAGATAAATCTTTTTTAAAAAGTGGATGCAGCATTTGATATTCCCATAAACAATAAAAATCTGAAAAGTATATATACTTTTTACCTTCTATGTCCTGATCCAAGCTACTCTAATCTCCTTTCTATTCCAACTAATATCCTAGGAGTCATTCAGGTTGCTCAATAAAGCAATTGGAGGATTAACTGTAAGTCAGTTGAATTTACAGACAATTAAAATGCTTTGCATTTTCAGTCTAGATAAAATTTGTTAAGATTTTAAAGATTATTTACTGAGCTAACAGTGGTTTATAATGCTATAAAGCTTTCTTAAATGGAGGTCATCATATTTTTGGTGTCATCTTAATGATTCTCTAGTGTCCTTTATCTTGCAACATACCCTAAAGTGAGTACCCTTGATTTTTTTCCTTACTTATTAAGTATATACTATTTGTACTTGCTGTTTCATCTATTAAGAACTCTCTTCTGCAGATTTAGTCAAGAATTTTTCTTATTGTCCATGATTCTCATCCACAACAGTATTCACATTTTTCATCAGATAGATTGGACATTTTTTGTACATTTGTTGTACATTTTTATGGGTTTTGACTTATGCTTTATGACATGCAGCCATGTTAATAGTATCACAACTAATAATTTCCCATCTCTAAAAATGACCTGTGCTCCACTTATTCATCTTTTCTCTTCTACCCATTCCCTGAAACCCTGAAAAACACTGACCCTCTCCCTCCCCCCAACTATTTCCAGTTTTGCATTCTTCCAGAAAATAAATTGATAATTCAAATCTATCATGTAAATTTTGTCATTTTAAAACATAAGTGTACTTATTGAGGTTTTCATATTCGTTAATATATTAAACCTCACCAATATCAGCTGCTTACTCTCACTATATCTAGAACACATCAATATTTTGCTTTTAAGGTAGACCATCTATGCTACAATTCATTCATTAATTGTTTGTCCAATCAGAAGGAATAAAAATTAGATTTCATCAGAAGAATATTATTGTGAGTATAAATTAGTAGTAAAAGCTTTCCTAAGAACAGGGTCCTAGCTCAAAGGTGAGTTTTCCTACCGCTATGAGTTAGAAGTATCTAAGTAAATACATGGTCAGTATTTAGAGCAAAGGCTCTAAAAATTGGAAGGGAGATTATGAGTTTATATATTATTTACTACTAGCTTTGTTAATCTTTTATATTTATTTAAATCTGTTACCTTTTATTCAATGAGGAATAACAAATAGAAGACCATTTTAAAATGTGATGAGACAAAGTGGTGCATCAATGAAACCCTTTAGAGTGGGTAAAACTAGTTAGCTGTTCATATAAGCATATAACAGTATAATCTGGAAGCAGAAAATACCAGATGCCAACCTGATGAAGAGTAGGAAAAACACCAGATCAAAACAAAAAGTGATGTAAGGCAGGAAGAAGAGGCAGAGACACATCAATGAATGACATTTAAGATTAAAGACCTTACACACCAGTTTATACCTGCTGCTGTCAATTCCCATGTATACATTCAATTCAATTCAACACTAATGAAAGTATGTGTTTACATTGTCTGTTTTCCTAAATGAGTTAACTCTCACTCACCAAGGTAGAGTTGTAATAATTCCATAGAAAGGATATAATATTCTCTAAGAACTTCTAGGTTAGTCCAAACTATTAGTAAAAATGTGTTACTTCCATTCATCTTTAGTCATCTGATATCAACTTCTTGTTCCATAACTTCTTCATGGCATTTTTTACTTCTGCATTCCTGAGAGTGTAAATCAGAGGGTTGACCAAAGGTGTTCCAATTGTATAAAACACAGCTATCATCTTATCTATGGAAAAGGTGGTTGCAGGGCGTGTGTATATAAATATGCCAGGACCAAAGAACAAGATGACCACGATGATGTGGGAGATGCAAGTTGACAAGGCTTTTCTCCTCCCTTCAGCACTATGGTTTCTCAGAGAATGCAAAATGATGACATAGGAGATCATCACCATGACAAAACTCACTGTGCAGATGGCCCCACTGTTGGACACCAAAAGGAGGTTGATGGCATAGGTGTCTGCACAGGCAAGTTTCAACAAGGGTTGCAAGTCACAGAAATAGTGATCAATCTCATTGGGACCACAGAAAGGTAAACTCAAGGCCAGAAGGACCTGAGTTGAAGAATGCACACAGGACCCCACCCAGGCCACAGCCACCAGCACATTACAAACACGTCGGTTCATGATGGTCATGTAATGCAGGGGCTTACAGATGGCCATATAACGATCAAAAGCCATGAGGATTAGAACAAAGATCTCCAGGCAGCCAAAGAAATGTAAAGAAAATACTTGGACTATACACTCATTGAATGAGATAGTGTTATTCTTCAGAAGGGCATCCACAATCATTCTAGGAGCTACGGAAGTAGAGAAACAAGTATCAGAAAAGGATAAATAGAAAATGAAGAAGTACATGGGACTCTGAAGTGCCCGGCTCATCTTGATGGTAGCAATAATCAGAAAGTTACCTATCAATATCCCTAAATAGAAAAGGAAGAAAATGACAAACACTATTTTCTTCTTAAAAGGATCTTGTGTCAACCCAAGCAGAATGAACTCAGTTACATTATTCTTCAGATGCATGATTTCATGAATTAGCTGATGGATGATTTTGGAAGGGATTATCTACAAAAAATAGCAGAATTAATTTATAGTTTGTAGTGAGATATTACAGAATATTCAAAGCAAATTATTCAAGACTGTTTTAAACAAAATCAAATATTCCTCATTATGTACATTATAAAAGTCACTTTAATACTTGTGCTTTAACTCTTAATGATCAATTCATTGGGTTTTCTGAGTCTCAACTAGGCTTGTGAATAAGGTGGTTTCCTATAGCACTCTTTACATTCTTCAATAAGACCTCTTATGAGAGCTTAGACAAGTTTCTGATTAATTTTAACAACTGAAAGAATATTGAAATAAGAGAACATATTTTATTATTTTCTTTGGTGTTTTTTTTTCATTTTAGTAAGTTTTGAAGGCCATATCCATGTTTTTGTATGATGCATCACCCAATGTTTAGGGTACACATTACTATATTTGAAGGTAGATTCACAAAATAATGATAATAAACACACACAAATCTCAACTAGATTCAGTGTTTACACCTTCATTTATATAGTCCATATTTTAGACACATTCACATAAATGTAGATTACCTAGAAAAACATAGTGTTCTCCATTTCTTTGGGCACAGCTCTCAGATATTTAGCTTTCAAGGAAGGAACATAACCAGATATCATCTTTGAAGAGTCTATTGCAACCTTCAATAAATACTGTGGTATTAGTTTTTGACAATGATTGGTGAAGAGAAATAATGCTCTTTGATGGTTGATAATATCTCAAATATTCCCACTTCCATTTGTTTATATTCAATTTCTGAAATAAACCTAAGAACACTAAAAGCTCCTGAAGTTACATTTCTAAATTAATTGGGCAATATTTCTTAATAGTATATATATTCACAATTAAAAATTTTAGTGCAAACTTATTTGGTCAATAGTAGTTGGTGTTTGGGTGTCTCCAGATAGATGGTATAGGAGCAGGACACAGTTATAATCTTGCAAGAGCACATTCATGGTATGGAGCAAAAAAGTAGAAGTGGAAGAGAAATGTAATTTTAGAAAGAGGAATAGTAGATAGTAACTGCCTTTATCATTAATTATTTTCTGACAACAAAGTCAACAAAGATTGAACTTTGAAAAGTCACTTCTTTTAAGATGATATCTTTTTTTCCACATTGTAAAGTAAAATAATACCAAAGCCAAAAATGAAGAAAAGAAATAGTATCAATACCCTCATTTTCCAAGAATAAATATTTCTCTCTGTATATTTCTTGTTGAGTTTGGAAGACATAGTATATGCAAATAATTTATAACCTGAAATGTGATATATTTAAATGTAATGTGGAGAGTTACTTACCTTATTGCTTTCCTCCCATCTCTTCCAACATCCAATATATTGTTTTGTAAACTGTGAGTTGACTGAAGCCTAGACAAAAACAGTCTAAACAGAGAGAATTACTCTTGCATAATTTCTTTTTCTCCCTTAGTAAATTTTCTTTTTCTCAACAGACCTGAACTCTCTTATCTTCCTCCAAGTAAAAGAAAACTTTAGGCAAAATATATGATGAAGTTTTTACTTTGGTGTGCTAACTATAAAAAAAAAAATCTCTTGTAGGACTTGGTGATATTGTACACATTTCAGAAACTGTAGGAGAATGAGTCTGGGTATCCTAATCATTACAATGAGCTTGTTATTTTCATGATTCCTTTCAAAGAGTGCTGTGTCATAAAATAGTGACACTGAAAATAAGGCAGGCATTGCAAACAAGATGATGAAAACATCTCTGTCACTCTAATCATTCATGATTTTGTCCATTTTCTTGAGAGTTGGGATTTTAGTTTAGATATTGTCATTTCTATTGGTTTGCTAATTTCTTGGATGAGCATTTCTTTTCTACATTTGAACATATGTCTTTAAGATAAATTAATAGTAATAGCTATATTTAACTGGGTCAGTTTGTTAATAATCAATCCTCATAAAATATTTAATCAGTAATTTCATGATGACATTAAAAATCTCCACCTCATTCTGCATTTGTAGACCCATTTCATCTGTTCACATTCCAAACATTCAGAGTACGTTAGTCATGTATTTATTTATTTATTTTTTAAAGCTTTATTTTATTTTTATACAAGCGCCAGGGTACAGGCCAGATGTAAGGGAGGGTGAGAGGATTCACCAGAGACAGAGTGGGGAACAGAACAGGCAGATAGGCTGAAATACACTGCTGAGGGGAGCAGCAGGAGAGACAAAAGAAGTCTGCCATGCCATGTGGGTATCTCCGCAGTTGGGAGACTGGGTAGAAGCAGGGGGGTGCTCACACTGCAGTGGGAACGTGGACAAATTAGTAAATATATGAGGTGGAGCTGGGGGGAAGTCATGGAGTAGTCCAGAATGAAACATAATAGGTATAGATGATCCAAACTCCTTTTATCCTCAACTTTTCTCCACAACTCATGCCTCCCCCTCTGTGAACTTTAGAACTGAACTGTGGAGAAACATCCTGCAGATGGCCTTCACTGATTGTGAGAAGGATAATTAACACCCTTTCTCTCTAAAAGCTTACTTGTAGCTTTCTCATCCTATTGGACATATTGCTAATAACATAAGAATGAGTGTGCTTATTTTAACTTCCTTCCTGTAATTGGAATATCACAAGACAATGTGTTCCCAAGGCATTACTTGTCACAGTTTCAACTCAAGGCTTTATACAGTGCAGGTAGTCAGTAAGATATTTTACATTGAACATTCCCTACCACTTTTTAAATGTGATGTTTATCTTATTGTTCTCTATACTGATTCCAAAACACACTCACAACAAGAAATTACTAGGTTTCTATCTCTACCTATGCTGTATAGTAGAAAAACAAATAAGTTAATGAAGAAATCAATCAATTTCAATTTATAAAGACAAATTAAAAAACACTAAGATAAATTTCAGATAGCTTTTGGTCAGGGACATTAAATAGGGGAAAAGGGAAGATTTTTACACAAATAGTTTCAGAAACTCCCTCACTAGTTGTTTGGCATATCATCTTTCAGGTTTTAGTCACCTCATCATTTTTTCTCTAAAAAATAATTATTACACTTTCAAATAAAATAATCAGAAGTATGCCAGTTGCAAGTTATATTTTAATGATATTTTCAGAAGCCTGCATGGAGAATAGTTAATTTTATACTCTAATATAGAAAGTTTATTCAAATCTGTCTCTTGAAGATAGAAAAGCTGGTGTTCTCCAGGATCTATGTAAAGGCCACTAATTCTATTCACCTTTTCTATAATTTCTAACCTGGCAAAATCTTCGGTTGCCTTCCATTAAATTTATTTGTGATTTTTTTCTATATACTGCCATTTCTAGAAACTATAATAAACTTTAACACACAAATAAATAATCCCGGTGTTCATCAAGGATTTACTGAGCTCAAATGATCATTTTTTCTTAATACATATGTTCATTGTATTTATTATGTTATTTTATTTATTAGCAGTACATTTCAAAAAAAACTTTGGGTTGTTTTTATTCTGTTCCTTTCTCAGAGTGTGTGGGGATAATTTACTTAAAAGACATAGAAATATATTAGACAATTATGTCAGATTATTTTGTAAAGATGCCACACTGAGTGACAAGACAGAGGCAGTTAGTCACTTACCTGTTAGAAGCTGCTCTGATTGGAATCAAGTCTGCCCATACTTTTCTGATAGTAATCTCACAGAAATTGGAAAAAAAAAAAAACTGTTCATGCCCATTCCAGGGGGAATATCTTCAGAAATAATGATGCAAGTTATTCATAATGTATTATTATTATTATTCCCCAATGTTTTCCTCAGTTTGCTAGTCACAAATACTTCCTATGAAATAAATTTAACTTCTGGATTTTCACTTAGCTTGTAAGAATAGCACTTCAATCTTCCTCACACTCATTTTGCACATGTAGACAAGGATTTGGAGTTGTTGGGTGTTTCAGGCTGATCACTGTTACGAAGAAGAAAATAGAGAAATGAACAGTGGAAATGCTGGTAAAGAACAGGAAGCATAAAAATAGTGTCAGTTTTTAAAAAGGAAGTGGGATACCTGAAAACAATTACTTTCCCTACTTTGCTTAAAAAAATGCCATTGCAGCCACATGGATGCACCCAGAGAATATTATGCTAAAAGAGATAAGTAGAGGAAGACAAGAACTGTATCACTTCTTTACATGTGGAAGAGAAACAAAACAAATGAGCAAACAAAATAAAACAAACATTTAGAATGTCAGAAAAAAACAATGGTTCCCAAAATGGAAGGGGTGGGAGGTATATATCAGTAAAAAGGGTCAATAGTATGACGAAGGATGGAAGTTAGAGATTTGATGGTCAATGTAACATAGTGTATGCCACTATTGATATAAAATGCTGAGAATTTACATAATGTTAAAAACTTATGAGTCAACATCAGTTAAATAAAAACTTAAAATGAGAATAACAATGAAAAACAAACAGGGCAGGATTGTGGGGGGTGACACATTTACCATGAGGAATGAAGAAAATGACTACAAAGAATTCAGTATGTGGGAATTTTTTTTTTTTTAAATAAAGAGGATCTGAAACCATTCTCACACAAACAATAGCTGAGTGGGATTGTCACCTCTTGATTGGCCTGACAACAAGGGCTAATGGGACTTTTTCAAGGTGAAAGTAAAGGATATTAAACAACAATGTGAACATACATGAAGAATAAACTTTATTTAGTTGTATTTAAAGAAATGCATATGCTACTACTTTAATGGTAGTATATAAACCTTTCTTAATTTTACTATTAATGTTAAAAAACAAAAGTTTTAAGAATACAACTAAAAAGGTTCATTAATGGAGACAATATAAAGAGATTTAAATTGTGGCGTTAACAACTTAAAGGGTGTGAGCGGAGGTAAAAAAAGTACATTTGTGACTGACAATATGGTATCAGTAATACAGACTATAATGAAACAAGAAACTTCAGGGAACCCACATAAAGCAACCATAGACAATAAAAAGAAGAAAAATAAGAAGAAATAAAAATATTACTGCAAACAAACCAAAAAAAGGGGGGGTGCAAGAGAGTTATGGAGTAATAAATGATATAAAAGCAGATAGAAAAGAGAAAGGTGGTGATAGTCATTTTTCAGCAATAATAATTGAAATCTACATGAATGAAAATTCCCAAATAAGATGATACAGAGGAGATTAGTTGAAGGGAGCCCTCTTTCACTGCTGGCCAGCCTTTATGGAAGGAGGTGTCTCAAGACATTAAAAACGGATCTGCCATTCAATGGAGTAATTCCACTCTTGCACCATTGAACACTAATATATTATAGGTGTTTACATGGTATATGCTTTCCCTAACTTTTATTTTCATCGTGATGCGTAATTATGTTTGAAATGATTTTTTAAAATAGCATGAAGTTTTGTCATATTCTTAAATTGCTCTGCCAATATATATCTTTACTGTGACTTCTTATTATTAATTTATATGATCACTTACATTTAATGAACTATTGACATTATTTAATATAATTTTTGATATTGATATGTCAGTGATGGGCATTCCACTAAATGTGATTTTGCTTGTTTTGCTGACTGTAATGAGTCTAGCTAGTCTAGCATTCAAAAATTATTGAATCGAAATTTCAAGAATTAGTGGTGAAAGATGGAAAAGACATTCCCTGAAAGATCATGTTTGCATGGTCCGAATACTGTCCCTGCCCCAGGTTCATTTCTCTATGTCTTGAACCCACATTGGCTGTACCAGCTCTTTCTTAGGGAAAACTTTTTTTTTTTCTTTTGTCTCTATTGGAAATTATGACTTGATCTTCCTTGTCTTTGCCAGTATTCATGCTTTTCACAAAGGCAAAAAGTTCCCTTGGCAGCACAGTGCATAGTAAGGGTGGGGAAGTCACCTTATCTGAACACTTGCCTTCATGGCTAGCTGTTTCCTCTCTACGGAGGCCACCTTGGCCACCTCTAGTTCCCACAATTCATTCAGGGTCAAATGTCAAGGCACATCTTGGCCCTTCCGAATAATACTGCAGACAGTAACTAGGTCTAAAGTGGATAAGTATGACAAGAATTACTGTTACTATCTTGTGAAACTTAGGCTCTGTTGAATATAATTGATTGACCCCACTGGTCACAAATGTTGGAAAAAATATTTTTTAACAAAATGAAAACAGAAGATAAAATAAAATTCAACAATAAAGGGATGTCTTTGTGTTCTATAAAGTGCAATGTTATTTAACTACTAAAAAATGCTTACGAAGAGTTTATAATTTGGTGGAGGTTGGTACATTATGATAAAGTAAACACAGAAGGGAATGCAATATTGTTCTTCTAACAAGATTTTACTATGTAAAAGAGTAGAAACTACAGAAAAAACATTTAAAATCACCTTTTCCGTCAGAAAAATGGCAAAGCAGAGTAAAGCAAAATGGCTGAATCGTTACATGTTCAAGAAATTTATTTTTCATTACATTTTATTAAATTTTTCAAATATAGGACCTCCCTGGTGATGCCCGGCCGCTGGCAAGGGTCCCACATGGCGCGCAGACCTCTCCTGCCGCCCGCTGCTCCCCTCAGCAGTGTACCTCGGTCCTTTTGTCTGTTCTGCTCCCAGCTCTGGCTCTGGTGAATTCTCTCACCCTCCCGCGCTCTGACTGTACCCAGTGCTTTTATAAATTAATAAATAAATCTTAAAAAATTTTTTTCAAATATAAAACAAAGTTTACAAATAAATATACCAATGTAACTAAAGTATCTATTACTATATAGAAATTTCTAGTAGCCCAGAAATGGACTTCATTCTACTTCCCAGATTATTCTCACTCCCTGAACCCTCTCACCCCATGTAGACAAATATAGTTTTGTCTTAGCTTCCACCACAGTTTAATTTTGTCTGCTGAACACCTTCATATTAATGAAATTATAAAGTATATGCTGCTTTTTGTAAAGCTCTTTTTACACAACAAAATCTTTTTTTTCAGTTCACCAATGTGGTAGTGTATTTCAGGAGTACAGTTATTTTCTGTGCTAGAGAATAAATTATTGTATGTGTGCCAAAATTTATCTTTTTAAAAAATTCATGCACACTTGCATTGTTTCATGCTGTTGGCTGTTATGAACCAATATCCTGTAAACATTATATTACAGGTATTTCATGAATATATTCCTCCTGAATAAAGAGCCAAGAATGGGATTGTTTGGACATATACCAAGTATATATTTAATTTTATGTTTAAAATCTAGAACTTTATCCAAAGGGGAGGTAGCATTTGATATTATCCTCAACAATGAAAGCTGAAACTACAGCAGACATTTTACTAGTGTCCTGATCCAAGCTACTATAATTGACTTTCTATTCCAACTAATATCCCAGGATCCATTCATGTTGCTCACAAAAGCAATCAGAGTAGTCAGCCCTTTTAATCATAAGTCAGATCAATTAACATATAATTCAAATGCCTTGCATTTTCAGTCTAGATAAAATTTGTTAAACCTTTTAAAAATTATTTACTGAGGCAACAATTATCTACAATGTTGTATAAACTTTATAATTGGAGCTCCTCATTGTATTTTTGGTGTCATCTTCAATTTTTCTCCATTTTTCTTTTGCTTTACATTAGTGTCCTTCATTTTCTTCCTATACATCAGGTATATACTATTTGTACTTGATAAACATCTATCAGATATACTCAAGAATTTTTCATATGGACCAAGATTTTTATCTTCAATAGCATTCATATTTTTGGTCAGATAGATTGTGCTGGGTTGTATAGTCTCATGGGTTTTGACTTATGCTTTATGAGTCCATAACAATTGTATCATAGTTTCCCTTCCCCAAAAAATAACTTGTGCTCCATTTATTCATCTTTCCTCTTGCACCCCTGAGCCCTTGAAAAATAAGGTAATTTGTTTTCCACTATTTGCATTTTTCCACAAAGAAAATTGGTATTACATATCTATCATGTAAATTTTGCCATTTTAAAACCAACATATCTTCCTTGAGCTTATTATATCTATTTATATTTTGAATCTCATTAATAGCAGCTGCTTATTCTCACTGTTTCTAGACCACATAAATATACTTCTCTTCAGTTAGAATTCTCAACCACAATTGGTTCATATGACTTAAGAAAAACCTTAATAATCTTCCAGTTACAAGGAATAAAAAGCAGATTTTACCAGAAGAATATTATTGTGAGTATAAATACAATAGTCAAAGCTTTCATAACATTGAAGACCTACCTCAGAGAATGAATTTTCTGGCTGCTGTGTCATTGTTCTAGAAGGAGCTAAATAAACACATAGTATGTATCTAGAATAAAGACTAAAATTCAGAAGAGAGTTTATTAGATTATATATTGCTTCTTGATACATGACTCTTCTATAGTAATTTATTGTGTTACATTCTCTTTGGCCAGGAAGTATATAAACAGGTCCATTTTAAAAGGTTGAATCAATAAAACCTTTTACAGTAGGTAAAACTAGCGAGGCTATTCGTATAAGCATATGGCAGAGACTATTTGGGAAGCAGACAATACCAGATGTCAACCTGATGAAGAGCGGGGAAAACAGTAGATCAAAACCAAAAGTGATTCTAGGCAGGCAGGAGAGGCAGAGACACATCAGTGAATGACATTTAAGACAAAAGGCCTTATGCATCAGTTTATACCTGGTACTGTCAATTCCCATATACACATTTAATTCAACACTAGCCAGTGTATGGATTTACATTGTCTATTTTCCTCAAGGAGATAATTCTCATATTACAAGTTAGATTTGTAATAACTTCATAGAAAGGAGATAATATTCTCTAGGAGCTCCTAGGTAATCTAAACTATTAATAAAAGTGTGTAACTTCCATTCACCTTTAGTCATCTGAGATCAAATTCTTGCTCCATAACTTCTTCATGGCATTCTTCACTTCTGCATTCCTCAGAGTATAAATCATAGGGTTGAGCAAAGGTGTTCCAATTGTATAAAACACAGCTATCATCTTATCCATGGAGTAGGTGGTTGCAGGGCGTGTGTATATAAATATGCAAGGGCCAAAGAACAAGATGACCACAATGATGTGGGAGATACAGGTGGACAGGGCTTTTTTCCTCCCTTCAGCGCTGTGGTTTCTCAGAGAATGCAAGATAATGACATAGGAGAACATCAATAAGACAAAACTCACTGTGCAGATGGCCCCACTGTTGGACACCAAAAGTAGGTTGATGACATAGGTGTCTGCACAGGCAAGTTTCAACAAAGGTTGCAAGTCACAGAAATAGTGATCAATCACATTGGGACCACAGAAAGGTAAACTCAAGGTCAGAAGGATCTGAGTTGAAGAATGTACACAGGACCCCACCCAGGCCACAGCCACCAATATGCCACAGACTCTATGGCTCATGATTGTGGTGTAGTGCAGGGGCTTACAGATGGCCACATAGCGATCGACAGCCATGAGGATTAGAATGAAGATCTCCAGGCAGCCAAAGAAATGTAATGTAACAATTTGTATTATGCACTGATTGAATGAGATGGTGTTATTCTTCACAAGGGTGTCCACAATCATTCTAGGGGCTATGCAAGTGGAGAAACAGGTATCAGAAAAGGATAAGTAGAAAAGGAAATAGTACAAGGGACTCTCAAGTGACCGGCTCATCTTGATGGTAGCAATAATCAACAAATTACCTAATAATATCCCCAAATAGAAGAGTAAGAAAATGATGAACACTATTTTCTTCTTAAAAGGATCTTGAGTCAACCCAAGCAAAATGAACTCAGTTACATTATTCTTCAGATACATGATTGCATGAATTAGCTGAAGGGATGACTTTGAAATGGATTATCTGCAAAAAAATAAACAATTTTTTTTATTGTGTTTGGGGGAATATAGAAGTGCTTGAAGTGAATTATTTAAGAATGTTTTAGGCAAAATCAAATATTCTTCACCAGGTACATTCTGTGATTTTTTGAATGTCTCTCTAAACCTTGATGCCTTTATTTTTAATGATCATTTCAGTGGATGTTGTACATCTCAACTAAGCTTGTGAATCAGGTAGATTCTGATAGTGCTTTTCAATACAAACCCTGTGATCTTTGAAAAGATTCTGATGAAATTTGCCAACTGAAAGAATATAGAAATAAAATATACAATTCTGTTATTCCCTTAAGTTTTCTTTTCATTTTAATAATTGTAGAACCCAGTTCTATCTATTCATGTTCCAAACAATTCAGAGTATGCCAGTCATATGTTTATTTGAAATATATTCTCTATACCTTAAGTGCAGTTTAGGGGTTCTCTTTCAATGTTAAACCAAGGGATTTTTAATGTATTTTATAATCTGTAATAACCTACGATCTAGAAGGGAGGAAATATACTCAAATCAACAATATTTATTGGAGACTGCTCACAGTGCAGTGGGATTGTGGACAGATCAGTAAATATACAAGGTGGAGCAGGAGGGAAGTCCTGGAGTAGTCCAGAAAAAAGCATAACAGGCATATGATTGTCATCTTGTCCTCTCCTTTCCTCTTGGAAACCCTACATTCCTAGTGCCTCCTCCTCTGTGAACTTAGGACTGAACTGTGGAAAATCATCCTGTAGATGATCTTCTCTGATTGTGAGAAGGAACTCTCTAAAAGCTTACTTACAATATTCTAATACTACTGGACATGAGTGCTTATAGCATAAAAATGAACATGCTAATTTTAAGTTCCTTCACAGAACTGGAATATTCAAATCAATGTGTTCTCAAGATGTTATTTGTCACAGTTCCAGCTCAATGCTTTATATATTGCAGGTGGTCAGTAAGATATTTTACACTGAAAATTCTCTACTACTCCTTATGACATGACATTATCTATTTTCGTTGTACTATTCTGATTACAAAAGACATTCACAACATGAATTTACTAGAGTTTCTAGCTATTCTGCATGGTAGAAAGACAAATAAGGAAATTAATAAAGAAATCAATCAATCTCAATTTATAAAGTCAGAAATTGAAGATAAAAGTAAGATAAATTTAAGTTTTGAATAACTATAAAGCCTGGAGTGGACAGTGTTGCTCCCTGAAGACCACCATATGGCATGACAGAGGCTGAATGTCTTACACACATAATCCTGAATCTGAATACTGAATCCTGAATCATAATCCATAATCCTGAACCTAGATACTCAGGGTACAAAAAAAGACTTTACATTTTTCATATTCTCATAATATTGATTCATATTTCTGGTACAATTGGTATATAACCATATGCCTATTTTTTTTCTAAAGGAAAGTTAACATCTTTTATCAGGTTCTTTAAAGGAATCAGACACAAAAATAGATACCAATATCTGGAGACAAAACTGTACCAGTAACAAAGACCATTCATTGTGCTCCCTCTAACTCATTAAACAGGTAAGTCAAGGGCAGAATAGCCATGTCAAAATGAGAAAATTGTTGGTGTGGGGACAGTGACAATTGTTCAGAAGAAAAAGCAGTCTAGAAAAAAGTGTCAAATAGATGACAGTGGGAGGCAGAGTGTTTGTTATCTCCTGCACTTCTAATGTTATAGCAGAGACCAGAGTGAGCTGCACTGATGCCTTAAATACTGTCATTAAACCCCCATTAAGTTATTGTAGACTTTGATCTTTGGGAGAATACACATTCTATTTCTACACAGAATTTACCATTCTCTGTGGGAATGCCAATTGTTTTTTTTCAAGATTTTTTATACTTAAAATCTATACAAAAGGATTAATAATATCTACCCTCTTGAAGAACTCACTCTAGGTAACTGAATTATGATTCCTCCTTATTGGTTCAACAGATACCCTAGAAATGCAGCTGTACTTAAGAACCAAAAATTCACCATAAAATGTAATACACATTAACTATGGTCTCTTCATCTGATTGCCCCAATGACATGAGATTATTATCTATTTATTCATCTTTCCAAATATTACTAAAAAGAGCAGAGACCTTGTAAAGGAACAAGGGTGGATAATAATCACATGTGAATGAATGTTGGGCAGGGACATTAAGTTGGAAGAAAGAGAAGACTATTAATACAAAATATTTTGAGGAAATCCTTTACTAGATATACAGTATGCTATCTTCCAGATTTTAGTCACCTCATCATATTTTCTCTGAACTTTATCTAAACAGTATTTTTCCTCTTTTAAATTAACATATCAGCAAATTATAATTTTGTGATATTTCAGAAACATGCTTTACCCTCATCTAAAATTCTACTCAAATTTATCTCTGGAAGATAGAAAAGGTGGCTTTCTTCAAAAGCTGTGTAGAAACTATATTATTAACATTTTCTATAATTTCTTACCTGGACTATCTTTTACTAACTTCCATCAAATTCATTTATTAATCTTTTCCTAAACTCTCTCATATCTAGAAACTATAATAAGCTTTAACACATGGAATACATTCTCCTGCTGCCTTTATGCTGTGATGAATTGGCACATACCTGGTGTTCATCAAGGATTTATTGAGCTCAAATGATCATTTTTTCTTAATACTTATGATAATTCTACTTATTTCCTATATTGAGTATTTTTTTTAAATAATGATTTTTTTTATTATGTTCCTTTCTCAGAGTGTGTGGGAATAGTTTATTTAACATGCATTAAAAATATGTCAGATTATTTTGTAAAGATAATCACTCTGAGAGAAAAGATAGTGGTAATTTGTCTCTTACCTGTTAAAGGACTCTCTGATTAGAGTCAAGTTTGCCCATACTTTTCTGACAGTAGACTTCTCACAGAAAATGGGAAAAAATGTTTATGCTTGCATTCCAGGGGGAATATCTTCAGAAATAATGATGCAAGTTACTCATATCCTAGAGATTATTATTCCCTAAAGTTTTCCTTAGTTTGCTAGTCAGAAATACCTCATAGGCAATAAACTTGATTTTTCACTTATTACTTAGCCTGTGATAATAGCATGTCAATCTTCTTCACACTCATTAATTACATATAGACAAGGATTTGGAGTTGCTAGGTGTTTCAGGCTGACCACTGTTACAGGGGAAAAAAGGAAGAATTAAAGAAATGAACAGTAAAGATGCTGGTAAAGAACAGAAGCATAAAAATAGTGTCACTTTTTAAAAAGGAAGTGGGTTACCTGGAAAAAAATCCCCCCCCCCCACAGCTAGAGCCATAATTTGTCTCTTCTCACATTTCTCAGTAGAAACGTTCCAAAACAGAAGGACGTGGGCAGATATATTCAATGTGATGAATGAAAAAAAAATGACAACAATGAATTCAATACCCAGAAAAAGTGTTTTTTCAAATACAGAGGATATGAAGACATTTGCACACAAATAAAAGCTGGGTGGGTCCATCACCACCAGATCTACATGACAACAAATGCCAAAGGTACTTTTTCAGGTTGGAAATGAAGAATATTAAGCAATAACATGAACATATATGGAAGTATCATACTTATTTTATATAGTTGCATATACACAAAGTGTAGACTTTAATGGTGGCATGGAAATATCTCAACTTTTGTGTTAATGTTGAAAGAAACATTTAAAGAATAGAACTACAAAAGTTGTTTAATGGAGACAGGATACATAATTATAAATAATGGCTTCAACAACTGAAAGTGTGTGACAGGAGAAATGAAAGTATTAATGTGATTGACATTAAGCTGTTATCCATAAAACAGTCCATCATAACACAAAAAATTTATGGAAATCACATTGCAACCACACATAATAACAAGCATGGGTTATTTAAAAAATGAAAAAAATATAAAGAAAAGAAGAATATCACTGCAAAAAAACACAAAGGAAAAACAGAAGAGCTTTGGGATTAACAATTATATGCAAGGCAGATAGAAAAAAAAGCAAAATAGTGATAATAGATTATTCTTTATCAACAATAATTTAAATATATGTGAATATGAATGTGAATATGAATGTGAATATGAATCCCCAAACAAGATATAGAGGAACATAGTATACTTTTTATTTTGAAATCAAGACTTCTCTATGTACTGACTAGGAGACTGACCTTGTTTTTTTAAATCGTAATGATTTGTATTGCAATAAAGCTGGTTAACAATACTGTATATGCCCCCAGAGTTATAGTTACATCTACCACAGTGCACTCAAAACACAAAATCCTTCACCATAGTGCATTGACATCCTCTTCCTTCCCATGACCTACTCCACCCTGTAGTAGCTTCAATTCATTATGTCTAGGATTTGTATTAGTTTTGTCTGTTCCTTTGTTTTGTTTCTTTATATTTCACATATAAGTGAAATCACCCAGTATTTGCCATTCTTCTGATTTATTTCACTTAATGCCCTTCAGTTCTATGTTGTTGCAAATGGCAAGATTTCATCTTTTTTTTACGCATAAGAAGTAGTCATTGTGTATGTGTGTATACAATATATGTATATATACATATATATATATATATATATATATATATAAAATCATGGAAACAACCTATGTGCTCAAGGGCAGATGAGCAGATAAAGTAGATTTGGATATACCAAATCTATATATATTTTATTTTATATATACACACACACACACACACACACACACACACACACACACACCCCAAATCTACTTTATCTGCTCATCTGTCCTTGGGCACATAGGTTGTTTCCATGATTTTATTGAAAATAGTGCCACCGTGAATATAGGATTGCACATATATCTTCAGTTTTGGGGGTAGACACTTAAAATTGGAATTGCTAGATCATATGGCAAACCTACTGTTTTTTTTTTTTTAAAGATTTATTTTATTTATACAAGAACTGGGGTATAGGCCAGATGTTTGCGAGGGTGAGAGGATTTACCAGAGACAGAGCGGGGAACAGAACAGGCAGACTGATGAAATACACTGCTGAGGGGAGCATCAGGCAAGACTGGAGAGGTCTGCTCGCCATGTGGGTCAGCTCTGAGGCCAGCGGAGATCGAACCGGCATTGCAGAGGCTGCGGACAGCTTCACAGGGCTGCGCTGAACTGCCTGCACCACCAGGGAGGACCTGGAAAACCTATTGTTAACATTGGGTTGTTGGCAAAGTCACGATGTATTTTTTTCTATGTTTTTCAAGCAAAAATGCATCATGACAACCCAATATTCTGAGAAACTTCCATTCTGTTTTCTTTTTTCTTTCTTTCTTTCTTTCTTTTTTTTATTTAGACAAGCACTGGGTACAGTTAGAAGCGCAGGAGGGTGCGAGAATTCACCAGAGCCAGAGCGGGGAACAAAACAGGCAGACAGACGAAATACACTGCTGAGGGGAGCAGCGGGTGCAGCAGGAGATGTCTGCGCGCTATGTGGGACCCTTGCTGGTGGCCTGGGATCGATCCGGCGCTACAGAGGCTGCAGGCAGCTTCGCAGCCCAGCGCTCAGCTGCTGCACCACTAGGGGAGGCCCCCATTCTGTTTTATTTAGGGGTTGGAACAGTCTATGTTCCTAACCAATGGTGTACAAGAATTCCCTTTTCTCATATCCATTCTAACACTTGTAGTTTCTGATCATTTTTGGTATGGGTCATTTTCACTGGTGTGAGTCAGTTTGGTTTGTGGTTTTGATTTGCCTTTCCCTGATGATACATGATGGTGAGCTTTTCCCCATGGTTATTAACCATCTATTTGTCTTCTTTGAAGAAGTGTCTATTGAGCTCTTCTGCCTAATTTTTGATTGAGTTATTTATTTTCTTGTTGAGATTTATGAGGTCTGTAGAACTTGTATACCATTCTCTTGTACAATTTATGACATGAAGATATTTGCTTCCATTTAGCAGTAGGGTGTGTTTTCTTTAAAATGATAGTTATTTTCATTATGCAGAAGCTTTTTAGTTTGATGTAGTCTCATTTGTCGATTCTATTCCATTTAGTTGTGTGTCTCTCTTTATTCAGATACTATACAGATTTGATTACTATAGCTTTGTAATATGATTTGAGATCTGGGAGTGTGATACCTCCCTTCTCTTCTTGTCAGGATTTCTTTGACTATTGGGGGCTTTTGTGCTTCCATAAAATCTAAGCAATGTTTATTTCTTTGAAGAATACAATCAAAAATTTCAAGGATTTAATTTTTTTTTTATATTGCTTTGGGTAAGAGGGCAATTTTATTAATGCTAATTTCATGCAGTTTTATCCCAGAGGTCATATGAATAATTATTATATTCTACAACATACTTTGAGTTTATGGTCATTGCATCAACTTGTTAATGGTGCCTCTGTTTTAGCCCTTTAGAAACATGATGGAAATAAGTCACAATGTAGGTGACGCATGACTTGGAGACAGAGAACTTCAAATCCATAACAAACAACCTGAGGAATTTGTTTATTTCTATGATCTTTGGGTTTCTTATCTGTAAGTTTTCAATAGGAACACCTAACTTTGCAGTTTTTTTGTGAGACACAAGTGTAATAATGACAAGACCAAGAGACACAGCAGCTACTACTTATTCTCAAAATAAAATAATAATCATAATTCAGTTTCCATTCTAGGTGAATTCCTTATGAGGGTGGGTGATTAATTCAAAATTATTCATTGCTAGATAAATTATTCTTGAAATTTTAAAGCTTTTATTTAATTTCCACAGTTTTAATTTGACTAACTATGTTTTGGAACCACACAAACCTTCATGTTTATTCTTTTCCTATATAATTTCTTATAATTCTATTTTCTATCCTTGATTTTTATGTTAAATTTTATCTTATTTCTTCTCTTATATATCTTCTGCCTTCAATTTTTCATCAATATCATATCAACATAAATACATTAATGATGTTTGTGTTTATGTGTGGTAGTATTACAGAGAAGTAGATTAGTTTATGTTTAATCATTTTTCCATGTTGTATTAATTATATGACCTTCGTTATACATGGAATGACAAGTTTGTAACAGCAGAGTAGAGCCTGATGATCATAAAGACACAGAAAACAAAAAAGAAGTGAGAATATTAAAATCTCATGGTATTTACTGAATTTATTTTAAGGTAATCTTTGACAAGAGGTGGACATAGTGATTGGTAAGGTTTTCAATAATGAGGAACACAACATTAAAATAAAATAGAATCTTGCAATTGCTAAAAATGTGGTATACTTTAATATAAACAAAAAGTAATATTAAAATGTAATGCTATAACCCCTTGCATGCATATCCCAGGTACAGCTGTTAATCTTCTCTGTCCATTCTGAGCACCAAAATTGATTGAAATTTCTAACTTGTGAATTTATACTACCCTTTTTTTTAAAAAAAGTACAGATACGGAAAATAAGTGACAACTTGCTATAGTTGTGGGTCCTCTGTAATTCTATGAACAAGTATGTGAGTAGTATCTCAGAGTCTATGATACTTTTCAAACTTTCACTGACAAAATTTCAAATGAAATAATTTCATGTAAATTTTTAAAACCTGGTTCTATTTTTCTATACTTTGATCACAGAAAATATAGTGTATCTCTAATGTATTTTAATAATTTATTTGTTCTTGACAACATACATTTTTTTTACTTTCTTACCTTCTAATATTATAGAATTCTGTTACTGTCACCCCATCACCAAATATAGAAGAAAAACCACATCTGCAAATCCTCCTAATACTACATCTAAAAATCCTATATGTAATGTCTCAGTTGTACTAATAGCCAAAGGAAATAATAAAAATATTTTAGAACAAATTATTATACTTTAAATATTTTGATCTTCTCAAAAATCAAAAATCAAAAATATATAATGGAATGAACTTCTCGATACACACATTAGTTCCTTTGCTTAAGAACTCAAGAGAAAACAAGGTACTTATTTGCAATGTGCTGTAGCTGGAATTACACTTGAGAGAGAGGTGTAATCCTTTATTTAGGATGCTCAGATGAAAATTTGTGATTGTATAAATGTCCTTATTGTTGTGAAGTATATTTCACCATCAACAATGTCAGATTTAAGTTCTCAGCAAAAGAAAAAAAAACAGACAGAAAATGTTAGAAAATGACTGACCTAAGGGATGAACCCCAGAAATCTTTAAGAAAAGCAAGTGCTTGACACTAGATTGCATGGGGGAGTCAGAAATTATACTCATATTTGCTATTAGCAGAGATTTATGATGCAGTAAGTAATCAACCAAGGCTCTTAATTAATCTTTGTCATTCTGATGTAATTTTGATATGCCATAATTTTCTCATGGCATTTTTCACTTCTGCGTTTCTCAGAGTGTAGATGAGTGGGTTGAGAAAGGGTGTTCCAATTGTATAAAACACTGCCACCATCTTGTCCATAGGGAAAGTGGTTGGGGGACGTGTATATATGAATATACAAGGACCAAAGAATAATATTACTACAATGATGTGGGATGTGCAGGTGGAGAGAGCTTTTTTCCTGCTTTCTGCACTGTGGTTCCTCAGTGAATGCAAGATAAAAACATACGATATCATCAGAACCGCAAAGCTGCATGTACAAATAACCCCACTGTTAGAGACGAACAGCAGATTGAACACATAAGTGTCCATGCATGCAAGTTTCAGCAAGGGCTGCAGATCACAGCAATAATGATCAATCAAATTGGGTCCACAGAAAGGCATTCTCAAGGCCAGAATGATCTGAGCGATAGAATGTACGCAAGACCCCACCCAGGCAAAAACAACCAAATTGAAGCAGACCTGCTGGCTCATGATGGTTGGGTACCGCAAGGGCTTACAAATGGCCACATAGCGATCAACCGCCATGAGGACGAGGACAAAGATCTCCATGGCGCCAAATAAATGTAGTGCAAAGACTTGAGTCAGGCACTCATTGTAAGATATGGTTTTTTTGGTTGAAAAAGCATCCGCAATGAGTCTTGGGGCTGTGGATGTTGAAAAGCAGGAATCAGCAAGGGACAAATAGAATAAGAAGAAGTACATGGGGCTCCTGAGTGTCCGGCTGCACCTGATAGTCACAGTAATGAGCGAATTCCCGACCACAGTTCCCAGATAGAAAATGAAGATGACAGCAATTACCATTTTCTGTTTCTTAGGATCTTGAGTCAATCCTAACAGTATGAACTCAGTTACGCTGTTATTTGGCTGCATTCTTTCAGTTGACAATGAGAAAACACAGGTTAGATATTAATCTGCAAAAAAAGAAGAGTGTGAAAAGAGTTTTATATTTGGAGGTCAAAATGCTTGCTTTTGGTAGCATTAAATATCTTTGAGCAGAGATATTCTGAACCTTCAAGGAATAATTGTTGAAATCATTGAATTACTGAATATTAATTGAAAATGTTGAATTAATATCTTACTTAATAAAAACTAAATGTATAGACATGTATGAGACAAAACAAACATTTCATTTGACATTATATTGATTATTTTAATTGAAACATTGCATTAAAACATTATGTATGTTTCAGGTGATCCAGTCACTCATGAGACTTTAGAGGTTTGTGATACTTGTTATGACACTTTGACTAAGTTTCATTTTACTTTACTGATGAAACTTTTTCAGTTTTTTACAAATCTAAATTCAGCTTCTATCATTAAACTTTGTGCTTTTTAAGCTAAATCCTGTTGTCCAAAGTGAAATTCTCCCACTTTATCCTTTTTTTTTGAGTCAACATTATTTATTAAGAGAAAATATACTGAGACTAACATGAAGGATAAAATAGTGAGAAAATTTGCCATTAGAAACTCTTCTTTTAACTTTTTTTATTTAAATTACCAGGAATTTAGAAAACAACCTCTATAAACTCCAACTCCTAGCCAAACAATTTAATGAATTCCTGGGATCTATCCTGAATGTGCTATTCCCTAACTGAAGTAAGAGAAGATAAAAATAGAAAGGGATTAATATTTAATCATACATACCAAACAGTAGACAAATTGGTTTTGTGCCTCAACACAAATATTCTCCAAATCATAGCACAGTTAAAAGCATAATAGTTGCAAACTGGTAAATAGATTGACAAACTCTGTGACAGTCAAAAGCATATTTTCTCAAAAGTGAATATATATTTTAGAGCTCAATCTTTTAAAACATAGCTCAGGAAGTTTAAAAAAATAAAATAAAGAATCTGAAAAACACAGCTCAAATGCATAATGGATAAAAAAACTGACTTCAAAAGAAATCTTTCTTATTAAAAATAATTGTGTCAAAGATGCTCATTTAATAGAAATTCAAAATTAGATGAAAATTAGATATATTTTCACCTATAAAATTAACAGATTGATTTTTTTTTGAGGAAGGCATTTTAACAAACAGTGCTGAAATTATGTGGACAATAATCCTACACATTTTGGTATGTGTTCAGTGAGCACAATCTCTTAAGGAGTAATTTTTGACATTGATGATATTACAAATGCACATAGACATTGGTCCCGTGATTCCATTTGGTGCAGATAATCTCACTCACAAAGATCAATCATTGCAGCCCTTTCTATGGTAGCAAAAGATAGAAAATAACTTCAGTGCCCTTCAGAAGGGAGCTGAGTGAATCAAGGGTGAAAATTCATGAATTAGCCAAAACTAAGCAGTGATACATGCAAAGGCTTCTCAGTGATGTTGTAAATTGGGAGATCAGAACTGAATGGTAATATCTCATTAACAGCAGACTAACACACACACGCACACACACACACACATTCTTCTACAAATTACCTGTATTTAGGGGAGTGCACAATAGCGTATTATTTGTGGGGCAGGTGGGAATCTGCATTTTGGTGTCAGAATGAGAGAATGACTCAACTTCCAAAATATTTCCTTGGTATTATACTTGAATGTGACATATTACATATATCATATGTCACAATGATGCTGCATTAAAATAAAATTTTAAAATTATCTAAGGAGATGGGCTGTTACTGATACATAACTGACTGAGTATAACTATTTTCTGCTGTAGACTGGAAGGACAGTAAGATTCTTGGGGCAGCATTAAGGTCTAGGAGTTTGAGTGGGATGATGAGGCAGGTATTGGGGCAGTTCAGAAATTCAGTGCTCTTCACGATGTCATACCCCCTGAACTGCCATTACTTGTGTGTCCTCTGTAGAGTTACAATTTTTCCAACTATGCACTTTGCCAACAATTCAACAAACAGAAGTAAAAACAGAATTATGAGATCTAAAAATTAAGTATATATGTAGGTATATGTGTGTGTATTGTATGAACTATAGATAATATGTATTGTATATAAAATATATGGCATTCCTACAGCTATTATTCTAATATTCTAATATATAAACTAAATTTTATTGTATACAACATATAATAAACATTAAATACACATTTTATGTATAACAAATGAATGATATACGTATCAGAATGAAGAAATATAAAGAAGGTAATTTTTGTCTGTTCACTGCTGAATTAAAGCATCTAGTACATGTTTAATAAAAAGTATTGGGTGAATGAAATAATTTAATAAATTCTCATAGACACAATTCAATAGCATTTGGCACTATTCTGCATTCAATTAACATTGATGGAAGCCTGCATCCAACTATGTCAAAATCATCAAAGATCATCACCTCCACAGAATATTTCCTATAATCCTCAAACAGATGTTATTTCTATTTGCTCATCTCTCACACCCTAGTCTATCAATAGACCTTACCTAGTAGTGGCCATTTCTACCAGAAACAGCTGTACATTCCTTTTATTCCATCTTCCCAGTTTAAAATGTAGCACCTCTAGAAAAATCCTTAAACTTTCTGTCCTTGCACAAATATCTTCTTTTTGGAATTAGAAGAGAACTCTGGCATTGATCATATCAATATTCTCTAAGTATGAAATGCAGTTAAACACCTTTTGTAGCAACTTATAAAGAGGATAGGATATCAGTTTACCATTTTTCTTCCAATGATCATTTGAACACCCTTTATTCAAATGAGAATTCAATAAAGAGTTTTGAATGCTCTGTCTAAAGTATCTGTAGCCAGGATCTCTTTGACGTCACATCAAGGCTTAGGCGCTCATCTGCATGCCGACAGTCAGGCTAAGATGGTCCCAGATTCCTCACACACTTTCTGAAATCCACTCCCACATAGGATGTTGACTGGATATACTTCTCAGATAGGACTGTGACTGGGAAATGCTTTTCTTGTGCCTTCCCTGGAGGAGTATTTAAAGATGGATGATGCAAACTAAGGAGTCTGGGGAAGGTCATTTCCTAAAGTGTTCCGTCCCCTCTAATTAAGAAACATGAGACAGATGTGATCAAAGTTAATCTTCAATTTGTCTTATTAAACAATGATTAAGAAAAATTGCTAATTCCTCTATTTAAAATGTGCAATATTTTACTCCATCAGTAGCATAACTTTTCATTTTAATGACAGTTTCTTTTACTATGTAAAGATTTTAGGTTGATATAGACCCGTTTGCTTAATTTTGCTCTTTTCCCCTTGACATTGGTGTCAAGTCCCAAAAGCTATCCCTGAAGCCAATGTCATAAATTGTTTTGACTATTTATTCTTTTATGTATTTTAAGGTTTCATGTCTAACAATCCAGCCTTCAATCTAACTTACATTCACTTTTGTGTGTGTGATGTGAGATAGAGGTCTACTTTCATCATGTCCATGTGGCCGTTAAGGTTTTCCAGAACTATTTGTTGAGAAGACTTTCATTTCTTCATTGTATATTCTTGGCTACTATTGTATAAGTTAACTGTCCAGTAAGTGTGAGCATATTTCTGGGCTTCAATTCAAATAATGCCTGATAAAGGGCGTGATCTGAGTGAGCAGCACACACAGCGTCCATCTCACTCTCCATCTCATAGGCTCCAGTAGGAGACTCACTATCCTCCGTCCTTTAATACCCTAATTATAATGGCCTTGCAAGACTCTCCTGCTTTCAGTATTTTCCAGTCAAGTCAGTTTCCATACTGTAGCTATAGTCATCATTCTGAAACCAAGTCACATTGCCTCAATCACTAGCAAAAAAAAAAAAAAAAAAAAAAGGTTTTAATTTTTATCCCCCAAATACTCAGCATTGAGTTTTTTAAAAGATTTATTTATTTATGCATAAGAACTGGGGTACAGGTCAGAGGTGTGGGGGGTGAGAGGATTCACCAGAAACAGAGTGGGGAACAGAACAGGCAGATTGACTGAAATACACTGCTGAGGGGAGCAGCAGGTGAGACAGGAGAGGACTGCTGTGCCGTGTGGGTAGCTCCCTGGCCAGGGATCGAACTTGCGCTGCAGTGGCTGTGGACAGCTTCATAGATTGTGTCTTAACCCCTTGTACCACCAAGGAGGCCCTTCAGCATTGAGTTTTAACAGGACTAGGAAAGCCTTCCTGATCATCCCTATTTATGTCTCCCCAGTTTCATATCTTGTTTTAGGCTTTTACCAGGCCAATGTTAAGCAAGCTTTCTAACACTCTGTGGTGGTTTAATAAATTGTCATTGAACTAGTAGAATAGTCATCGTCATAACCATATTGAATTGATAAGGGTTCCTGCATCCTCTTTTTCAACTCTTGGTTTTTGAAATGTTTTACCTTCCTGAGAATGCAGCTGGCCCAACTGATACTTATTCCTTCTGCTGATTTCTTTTAATGCTTTGGGTTGCATTTATTTTATTTTTTTAATTTAAATTTTATTTTTATATTCCCCATACAATTACAACCCCCTTATTTTTACCCCAAGCCCTCCTTTCCTCCCCCAACCCCCCCATAGAGTGTCTCTTGCTCATAGTTACTTGTTGATTTTGATATTTTCTTTCTTATAGTTATTCATTTTCCTGGTCCCTTATTTAAGTTTTCTAGATTCCTGCCATGAGTGAGACCATCCGGTATTTTTCCTTTTTCTTTCTGGCTTATTTTGCTGAGCATGATCCCCTCCAGTGCCATCCATGTTGCTGCAAATTGCATGTGTTTATCTTTTTTGGATGCTGAGTAATATTCCATGGTGTATATGTACCACATCTTCTTGATCCAGTCATCTATTTTTGGGCATTTGGGTTGTTTCCAAATCTTAGCTATTGTAAATAGTGCTGCTATAAACATAGGTGTGCAGGTGTTCTTTGGAATTGATGCTTCTGTGTCCTCTGGGTAAATACCTAGGAGTGGAATTGCTGGATCACATGGAAGCTCTAT